TCACTTGGCTATATTCCAGTGTGAAACCTGAGATAAGTCCCTTAAGTCCCTTGGCCTTTTATAAAAGAGAGTGGTTAGAAAGACCAGAGAGTTCTCAAATGAGTTATGGTGAAGAGGCTTCTTTCTTAGAAACAAATTTATGTAAAATTAGTGAAGAAAAATCTCTGTTCTTTTTAGTTTTGTTATAAAGTATGTGTGCATGTCTGCATGCTCCAACAAGGGATTTTTACTGATCTTTTAGTGGTCTTTAAAGCATTGAATTGAAGGATAAGTTTCAGTTGTCCTTTTGGGGAAGAGTATTAATACTTGTATTGGGTTAGGCTGAACTCTAACTTTGCCTTTTTCTTGTCAGTATTTATAGAGCATCCATGATAAATACACACACACACATGTGGACACTAGTGTGTATAGGGTGCAGAGCAAGTCACGTTGCCCTTGAGTTAAGGTGTTAAAACCCTTAACAGCCTTTATTGTCTTGAGCAGTGTGTTATGCAGAGCTACTGATGAAGGGAATTTTAGGCATAGTATGAAATGAAGACTCTCTTGATACTTGTTTTGTCAGATTCTTTTTATATTTCTCTTAAATGCCTACTTCCGCCAACTAGAAAATCATCCTTTTCTTTGTGTGCTTACGTGCTCAGTAGGGCGTCTTCATTGTTGTCAGCCGAGACAGTGTGGTAGGACTTCGGCAAATATGCAGTGTCCCCCTCCCTCACCTGTAAATTATTCTTTAACTTATATCATCAAGTATCAGCAGTTTCGCTTTAATATCAAGTCATGAAGAGTGAGTTTAGTTGAGGAAAATATTCTTAGTATGATTAAATGTGGAAATGCAGTGACACCAAATGCATTTGGTCTAAGAGATTTATTAGCATTTTTATTCTTTATCTGAGTACTCTATATAAGGAATAATATAACTTATTTCAAAACGTGTTAGCTTCTGGCTTTTTTTGTTTTTGTTTTTCTCCTTTGGAATCCTGAGAAGACAGTATTTAGAATCAGAACTTTTTGTTGTTGTTATCTCAGTGTGCCTAATTTAGCTAACTTTTGAATGTATTTCTTGACTGCACAGAAAGTTGGAGTGACTGGTCCCCCTGATCCACAAGTCCGCTGTCCCTCTGTCATTGAGTTTGGGAAGTATGAAATTCACACCTGGTACTCCTCCCCATATCCTCAAGAATACTCAAGGTATGTTTTGAGAGACCCTTGACCTTCTGTTTTGAAATCCATAGAAGTCTGGAACTGGAGGGGATCTCGAAGATGTTGGAGTCCACTTTATCCTTTACATTTGAGGAAACGGGGGCTTTTAAATGTCTGTAATAGCAGCAGCTTTGGCAGCTACTTCATCTCAGTTTGCTTTAGATGTTCTTTTCTGTAACCTCTCAGACGCTGATGTTTAAAATGAGAAACCTGAATGCATAGTCACAATAAAAGGGGAATGCCTTTTTTTTTGTTTTTGTTTTTTTGAGACGGAGTTTCACTCTTGTTACGCAGGCTGGAGTGCAATGGCACAATCTCAGCTCACTGCAACCTCCGCCTCCTGGGTTCAAGCAGTTCTCCTGCCTCAGCCTCCTGAGTAGCTGGGAATACAGGCGTGTGCCACCATGCCCAGCTAATTTTTGTATTTTTAGTAGAGACGGTGTTTCACCATGTTGACCAGGATGGTCTCGATCTCTTGACCTCGTGATCCACCCGCCTCGGCCTCCCAAAGTACTAGTATTATAGGCGTGAGCCACCGCGCCCGGCCAGCCCTTTTTTTTTTAAAGAGAAATTTGTCTTCACTCCTGTCACTAAGAATTTTGAAAAAGAGACTCATATATAAATTTTCAGTTGATTAGCCTTTAATCTAAATATTTATAATTTGACAAATGTAGTAAATGGTTTGTTTTCCGAGAAATAATTGGACAAATGGTATAAAATTACATATAAATAGCTTGGGTTTCCAGATGTATTAATAAACATTGATCACTCACCAGCTTGGTGGAGCTAAATTGGTTTCATGACTCAGCTCTGAAATTGATAAGCTGTGTAACCTTACAAGCTACCCAGCTACTCTGTGACTCTGTTTCCTCATCTGTAAAGCAGAGATAGTAAGAGTACTTCATGGGGATATTGAGAACATTAAATGAGCTACAACATGTAAATCTCTTAGAAAATGGTAAGTGTTCAACAATGTCAGTTATTATATTTTTTCTTTGTGGTTAAAATTAAAAGATGAAATAAGATCAAAAAATTAAATACTAGTTCATTGAAGTGTAATAGTGACATTAATGCTCTGTAAGCTGTATACTACTTATGCCCCAGTTACCCGTACAAGAAATAATACATCATGGTGCTTTGTGAGTTAAATACATGTTCAGAATACTTTCATCATGTAAGTTTTCACCCATCTAGTAATATTGCCTGTCCAAAATATTAGCAAAATTTATTTAGTACTTTATGTTGAGTGCCTCAACATGGGTTGTTTTCAAGAAACTAGGAATAGGCCACTATAGTTGTTAAAGGGCCAGTTAGTAGAACTCATTTATCATTTTACTTTTTCTTTCCATATAATAACTTGCTTCTCTAGTCTATACTCGAAGTAGAAAAAGAGGAGTAAGAATGCTATTTCAGACACAGACCTCAAAGTGACAACTGACAAAAAAAGAAAAAGCAAAACTCAAGGAAACTAACATACAAGCTCATTAAACAACAATTGAGGGCCATTTACTGCAGATCGGTTAGCCTCAAACACTGTGGTGTATATTTAAGGCAGCATACAGTATCATGAGCTGACAACAATTAATCTGACTTTAAAAGAAGGTTACATTGTATTTGCATTTCCATATTATATATGTATATATGTTAAAAGAAGGCAGGAACTTCCTCAACTACCTACAGAACTTGGTATTCAGGGTGTTCAGGGTAACTCATTCCTCAGGAGTTCTAAATATCCACAATCTTTTATGACTGAGAGGAAGTATGCCAAGGATATGCCTCTAATCTCAGTCCTCTGGGAGGCCAAGGTAGATGGATCACTTGAGGTCAGGAGTTCAAGACCAGCCTGGCCAACATGGCAAAACCCTGTCTCTACTGAAAATACAAAAAATTAGCCAGATGTGGTGGTGGGCACTTGTAATCCCAGCTACTCGGGAGGCCAAGGCAGGAGAATCACTCGAACCTGGGAGGCGGGGGTTGCAGTAAACCAAGATCGTGCCATTGCACTCCAGCCTGGGCAACAAGAGTAAAACTCTTGTCTCGAGAAAAGAAAAAAGAAAGAAATATGCGGAGTAATTAATTTCTTCATCAGGTTTAAAATTAGTTGTTATGATCATTTTTTAAGTGAGCTCTTTGCAAGCTGCCCAGATCACAAGAGTGCTCAACTTAGAAAAGAAAGCTTGTTCAACACGTCTATCAACTGTTCCAGGGATTGTAGAAACCACAGGCCCCTTGTCTACTCAAGGTGGGCAGAGGAAATAGGTTCAGGAAAGGAAATAGAGGGCTAGCATTTACTTTTCAAGAGAATAATGAGAATCGAACCATAAACTCTTGTCTTTTAAAAGACAGATATTAAAAGAATTCTTTGAAAATGTAGGTTTTGTTGTGATGAGATTTTCATTAGAAACAGGTGTGAGGAGACTAGTTATCAGTGAAGGAATAAAAATGTCATAAGTAACCAAAATAAGTATAATAGGAGTCAGTAGAAAGCAGAAATAGGATAGGAACTTGTAAGTTCATTAACTTCCTTAAGCAAGTTTTAGACATTTCCTCTACATTTCTTCATGCATTGGGTAGGGTTTTTTGAGTTTTCAGTTAGAAAATAGCCTATAATTTTTAATGGGTTCTTGAGTAATTATGACTTTTTTTTCTATCTGTACATTCACGGTTCTCTTGGTTAACTTTTTTTTAAAAAAATTACATATATTTATTTAAAAGAGCTTAAGCTGTTTTACTCTTGAATTCTTTGAAGCTTGAAGTGACTAAAATGTTCAAAGATCTTACATTTTCCAAATAATAAACTCATATCCCTTAATTTTGTTAATGCCTATTTATTTTGTGCTAAATTACTTTTAAATTACTTTCTTATTAAAGATTTTAAACACTGTAACATACAAAAACAGGGCAGTTGGAGCAAACAAAAATGAAAAGGTCATAAGAAAAATCTCTTTTGGGAAGTGGGATTATGCTTTAGGGAATATCCTTTCATATGCGGGTATTTGTATATGCAGTGTCTGTTCAGTAATCTTGTATCCCTGTCTTTAAAAAACAAGACATAAACAGTGAAACAATAATACTGTTTCATTTGGAGCAGTGTGATATAGTCCTCAGACATTGTAGAGTGTAAAACAGAGTTTTAACCATGAATTCCTGCCATAGTGCCATGTAGTGCCCGCACAGGTTCATTGCAAACCCTACTCTGCCGTTAAAAGCTTGACATAGATGGGATGAAGGCAAAAGAGATTGTGATCATGGGATGCCCTCTGCTCCTATGCTGCTTAGAGCTTAGCTTATAATAACCTTTTTGTTTTGAGATCCTAAAGAGGCAGATTCCTAGGTGATAGAGTAGCCTAAGAAGATTCCTCTGCCTTTTGATTCTCCTCCGGACTTTATTTGATGCTTAGATTATGAGATTGTCACTAGAACCAGTTTGATTATTCTCATCATCCCAGTTACCGAAGAAGAAACCAAATAGAATCCCTGTTGCCTTCGGCTGTTAAATTATTGAGTAAAATTGATGAAAGGAGAATACAAATAATAATTGTAAGTAATAACCATCTGTAGTTACCATCTATTGAGCTTGGTACTGGACTAAGCATCTCTGGTGTAATTCTGTGAGGTGAATATTACCATCTAAATTTTGCAGACCTGGGCCTAGACAATACGGTATTTAAGTGGCAGAACTTGAAGCTCACTTCTCTCTTACTACATAGCCATCACCATGAACTGCTGGCCTAGGCTATTCCATGTAACGTGTGTCTAGTTTGATCTCACTTGGCTTGTAGCATAATCTTAGATTTAAGTAATATTTGCTATAATTTTTATTGTTACATTAAAAATTTGCCGCAAGGGGAACGATCCAAGATGGCCGATCGCTAACATCTTAGAACTGCAGCTCCCAGCGAAAGCTCAGACAACGAGAGGACGCCACACTGTCAGACAAATTTTGGTTGCTCACGGAGCAGAAGATTCCCAGTGGAGGAGCTCCACGGGTCACCAGCGCGACTCTTGTGGCTGGCGCGGCGGTTTCGTCGGCACCTCAGCGCGGCTGCTCTTGGTGCAGAGTAAACGGGACTGGTTCCCCTTCTGACCGAGGTTTGGAGGAGCCACACAGGTCGCCAGCGTGACTCTTGTGGCTGGCGCAGCAGTTTTGCCGGCACCTCACCATGGCAGCTCTTGGTGCAGAGTAAACAGGACTGGTTCCCCTTCTGACTGAGGTTTGGAGCTCCAGGAAGGCAGAGTTGCCTATTACGGACTCAAGAAGGAAGCCAGACTGGAGATTCCCGGGCAGAAAAGCACCATCAGTCTTAATGCCGCTGTTTTGGCCCTGGGAATTAACAACTTGGACGTCCACTCAGAGACCTAATTTGAAAGTTGATAATTACAAAGACGACAGGTGGATAAATTTACACTGATGGGAAGAAACCAGTGTAAAAAGGCTGAGAATACTCAAAATCAGAACGCCTCTCCCTCTAAAGAGGATCGCAGTTCCTCATCAACAAGGGAACAAGACTTGATCGAGAATGAGCTCATCCCATTAACAGAATCAGGCTTCCAAAGATGGATAATAAGAAACTTCTGTGAGTTAAAAGAACATGTTGCAGCCCAATGTAAAGAAACTAAGAACTTTGAAAAAAGGTTTGACGAAATCCTAATGAGAATAGACAACTTAGAGAGGAATATAAGTGAATTAATGGAACTGAAGAATGCAATGCAGGAACTCCGAGATGTATGCACAGGTTTAAACACTCAAATTGTTGAAGCAGAAGAAAGGATATCAGAAGTAGAAGTCCAACTTAATGAAATAAAACCAGAAGACAAGATTAGAGAAAAAAGGATAAAAAGGAATGAGCAAAGTCTCCAAGAAATGTGGAACTATGTGAAAAGACCAAATTTACGTTTGATAAGTGTACCTGAATGTGACGGAGAGAATGAATCCAAGCTGGAAAATACTCTTCAGGATGTTATTCAGGAAAATTTTCCTAAACTAGCAAAGCAGGACAATATTCAACCCCAGGTAATACAGAGAACATCACAAAGATATTCCTCAAGAAGAGCAACCCCAAGGCACATAATCGTTAGATTCACCAGGGTTGAAACGAAGGAGAAATTACTAAGGGCAGCCAGAGAGAAAGGTCAGGTTAATTACAAAGGGAAGCCTATCAGACTTACAGCAGATCTCTCAGCAGAAACTCTACAAGCCAGAAGAGAGTGGGGGCCAATATTCAACATCCTTAAAGAACAGACCTTTCAGCCCAGAATTTCATATCCAGCCAAACTAAGCTTCACAACTGAAGGAAAAATAAAATCTTTTATAAACAAGCAAGTACTCAAGAGATTTTATTACCACCAGGCCTGCTTTACAAGAGCTTCTGAAAGAAGCATTACACATAGAAAGAAACAACCAGTATTAGCCTTTCTAAAAATACACCAAAAAGTAAAGAGCATCAGCATAAAGAAGAATTTACATCAACGAATGGATAAAACAGCCAGTTAACATCAAATGGCAGTAACCCTAAATTTAAATCGACTAAATCCTCCAATCAAAAGATACAGCCAAAACCCAACGGCATGTTACATCCAGACCCATTTCACTTGCAAGGATACACAAAGACTCAAAACAAAGGGATGGAGAAAGATTTACCAACCAAATGGAGAGCAAAAATAAATGAATAAATAAAAAGCCGGAGTTGCAATTCTCGTATCTGATAAAATAGATCTTAAAGCAACGAAGATATAGTGGTAAAAGGATCAATGCAACAAGAAGAGCTAACGATCCTAACACCCAGATACATAAGACCTATAAAGAGACTTAGACTCAAGGAGACGTAAAATTAATAAGGATATCAAGGACTAGAACTCAGATCCGGAACAAGTAAACTTAATAAATATTTATAGAGCTCTCCACTTTAAATACACAAAATATACATTCTGGTCAATACCACATCACACCTACTCATAGGTTTAAATGAAACATTGATTGGCCATTATTAATACCCATTTTTTTTTAGAATAAAGCAACATTTCTGTTCTCTCTCCCTCTTTTTCTTCCTCTTTCTTCCTCTCCTTCACTCCTTTTTTATCTTCTCTCAAAAAAAGAAAAAAAAAAAGAGAAATCAACTTGTAGACCTCTAGATCCAGGTCAGCAATGTCGCTCTCATTGCTCGATTTCCTTCCTTCCCTTCTCTCCCTCCCTCCCTCCCTCCCTCCCTCCCTGCCTCCCTCCCTTCATCCCTCCCTCCCTCCCTGCCTCCCTCCCTTCATCCCTCCCTCCTTTCCTCCTTTCCTCCCTTCCTGCCTTCCTCCCTTCCTCCCTTCCAAAAAAAAAAAAAAAATTTGCTGCAAGTTGACTGCACAAACTGCTACTATGTTCAAAAGCCCCAAGGGGCTGGGCGCAGTGGCTCACCTGTAATGTCAGCACTTTGGGAGGCCGAGGTCAGGAGATGGAGATCATCCTGGCCAACATGGTGAAACCCCGTCTTTACTAAAAATACAAAAAAAGTAGCCAGGCATGGTGGTACCCACCTGTAGTCCCAGCTACTTGGGTGGCTGAGGCAGGAGAATCGCTTGAACCCAGGAGGCAGAGATTGCAGTGAGCCAGGGTTACGCAATTGCACTCCAACCTGGTGACAGAGTGAGACTCCGTCTCAAAAAAAAAAGAAGAAAAACAGAAAAGGCCAGAAGGTACTGTAGTAATTCCTGAGAATAATAACTACATCATCCTAGAAGTGAGAGAAGCACGCTCAGCTACAGCACAGTCCTGATTCTATGGGCTGGGTTGTTAGCATTGCGGCAGACTTGAGAATAAACTTACAGTGTGGTAACACCCCACGGTACAGTTGATCAAAACCACCATACAGCTGCCTGTTTGATAGCTGAGACCTATATCCTACCAGGAACAAGACCACCAAAAGCTGCCAGGAGTATTCATAATCTTCATAACTACATTTCATTTCATGTAGGCTCATGTCCTTTCCATATGACAGATTTTTTTTTTTCAGTGAGAGAACTGCAGTTGTTTATACTATTATTAGAAATACTTTGTTTTTCCAGGAGTTTTTTTCCAGATGATTCCCTTTAGATTAGCAATGTCATCCCAGTGGGCTTGTTTCTAATAAAGTAAGGGGCTTTTAAAATGTTTTCAGGGAGAACTAAATTGGAATAAAGTAGCTCATAATGCTTGTTTTCAGTTTACTATTTTTCACATAATAAGGTTAACTAAAGTTTGTTTTTTTTTCTAATTATCAATAAAATGCCATGTATCTTTCCATTCCAAGGAAGTGGCATGAAATCATTTACCAGAGAAGACTTGACAGTAATTTTCTCAGAGATTTTGTTTCTTTTGATGTCAGCTTTAAAAACTTTTGGCCTTCTATCACAGACTTTAGGAAATAAATTGTGCTTTCTTTTCCATCTTTCCTTCCTCCCTCTCTCCCTTCTGTTTCCAGAAAAGTAATTAGCATTTATTGAATATTTTCTGGTTATTTAATTGATAGATAAAATTGTATATATTTATCTTGTACAACATGTTTTGAAATATATACGTTATGAAATATGACTAAATCTAGCTAATTGACATAAATGGTACTTTATTTTCACTTCTCTGTGCTGAGACCTTAACAGTTGGATTGGATGCCCTTAAAGTTGGCATTTATCTTTACCATAATTTGGAAAGCTTTGTGGTCTGTCACTGTTTTTTACTCTATCATTTTTATAAAAATACTTTAAAAAACACAAAATTGTTTAGGTTTCTCAGATTCATATTGTAGGAAGTATTTAGTGTAATATTTAGCCCTCAAAGTGAAACTGTACTCAGGTAGTGTTACTTCTGTTAACTTAATGACGTGACAAGTTAAAATTGGTCATTGAGAATTTAGCACAGGTAAATAGAGGTAAGTAAAACAGTTATGGAGGGAGGTGCCACCCATTACATCTACATAGAGAGACTCAGTCTTCCTCTTCCTTTTAGTATTCAGGAAATGGTCTGGCAGTTGTAGGTCACCTGTAAGGCTTAGTAAATACATGTAGTGCTCATATTAATGATGAAGTTTATAACTGGAGCCATTTCATTCTGTGATTTGTAGCTCTGGTGGTGAAGAAGTAAAATTATCTTCATCTGGTGGTTCCTCCCCAATAGTGGGGCTTGAGGCAGAATGCAATGGAAACAAAGTAGCCAACGACATACTGCTTTCCATGCTCTTAGCTCCCGCTTCTTGGCTTAAATTATAGTGCCACTCATTATTTGTTTCACTCTGCTTGATTTTGGAGTGATTGTATTAATAGTATAATTATAAGCTGTATATATAATAACAAGCTGTGGCTAGCCTTAGAGATTTTGAAAAACAATATTGTATACCATAGATGTTTAGTGATACTATACGACAAAAGTTCCTTGAAAGCTTTCAGTGTGCTGAATTGAATGACAGTTTAAAAAATAAGATGTGTGGGCCGGGCGTGGTGGCTCACGCCTGTAATCCCAGCACTTTGGGAGGCCAAGGTGGGTGGATCACGAGGTCAAGAGATCGAGACCATCCTGGTCAACATGGTGAAACCCCATCTCTACTAAAAAAAAAAAAAAAAAGATGTGAGGTTATGTGGGAAGAATTAATGCATATTGTGAATCCCCCAGGAAAAGTGGGAAAAAGCACGTGCCTTTTCGCCCTTATTTGAGCATGATATCCTTAGTATCTGCAGGATTTGTGTTTCATAAATATACCTTGGGAAAAACTTTAGTAGAATGTTAGATATTTTCAGATAAATTATCATTATATTTCAAAAGTGCTTTCAAAGTGGGAACTTGAAAAAATAGTTGTGGTCTTCACACAAATCAAACATTTTTTTGTTTGTGTTAATCTACTTAGCAAATATTTTCTTTAATTTTAGGGTAATATTTTAAGCATAACTATCCAAATTGATAACAACTAAATTAATTTTTTATTTCTTTTCATCTCAGTACTTAAATACTAGACAAGATACAGGAATTTATTTGAATTACATATTTTGTCGTTTTACCATCCCGTGTTTTTGTATATGCTGTTTTAACTTTTTTTTAACCTGTTACCTGGGTAGCAATGAAAGGCAAAAAGATGATAATTGTGAAAGTTTAAAGTTCTCTAAAATACAAAACCCTGTCTTTTTTGTTTAATTATCATTTACAGGCTGCCCAAATTGTATCTTTGTGAATTCTGTTTAAAATATATGAAAAGTAGAACTATTCTGCAGCAGCACATGAAGAAATGTGGTTGGTTCCATCCTCCTGCCAATGAGATTTACAGAAAGAATAATATTTCTGTCTTTGAGGTAAGGTAGATGCTTAAGTAGTTGTCTTCCCATCCATTTCAAAAATAGGGCCACCTGCATTGCATCTATTGTGCAACTTACTATCTTACTATTTTATGTAGCATAGAAAAGGAAAAAATACTGGTAATTATAATTTTTAAAACTTTGATTATAAAATGCCAGTTGATTTTGTACATATTAAGATGTGATAAAAGTACATCTTAGAATTATGAAATATGGCATTTAAATGAAAGGATTTTTATCACTTATTTAAAAGGAATATCTTACAGAGATCTGTTTAATAGTAAATTTTAATATGATGATGATGTGTGCTCTGCTCTGTCTGATTCTCTGTATCTGGTAGTAGTGCTCTTGATCCCAGTTGTGTGGTCTTTATGCCAAGTATTAATTGACTACTTGCTTGTGTACCCTGTTACCTGGTCTAACAGTAAAATTCCAGGTTGTCAGGATCCCCTCAGTCTCTCACTTTCTTGGTCTTCCCTAAGACTTCAAGTGATCAATAGAGAAGCTCTTTGCCTGGGAGAAGCTGGGGTAGATGTGGTATAAAATACTGTTTGAAGAGAATATTAACTTATCTGGATTGTTGAGTTCTGTTAGTATACCAGTGTCTTGGGTGCTAATGTGGGCATCCATTGGCATTTTTATAAAAGAGAAAGCTCTGGCAACTCCATGAACACAGACAAGGCTGCCAGGAGCAAAAGAGCAGAGTGCTCCCGGGCCTGGCAAGCCTGGAGCCTCATTTGCCACATGATAACTTGGAGAACCCACTTTATGCTTCTGCTTGGCAGTAGTTAGTACCCCCTTAAGTAGCTTCATCTGGGGGTAAGCCTGATCATGGTAGTTAGACTGCATTGCTTCAGGCTGCTGGCACAGATTAGACTACATAGTTACATCTTATTTTACCTAATAAATGTATTTTAGAAGGGTTGCGTTTAGACCTTTCGTTGTGTTACTTTGAAAACAAAGCTTGCCATCCAAAGGATTGCTGTAATTCATTGTTTTATAAAAGCAAAAATTGCTATTTGAAAACCAGATTATCACCTCCTTATCTGGCTATTCCTGCTTTGTTGAAGGTACCGTATTTTATATATTTGCTTGTCCTAAAACAGCAGATAACATAATACTGCCATTTCAAAGGATAGCTTCCAGCTTCCATAGTGTACTGGTCATGGACACCTTCTCCTACGCTGGACTATGGATATCTAGAAATGCTTTTTATCGATATGTATTGTGCTAGAACTGAAGAGACCATCTATTGACTATTTTGTTTTGTTTATTTCTCTAGGTTGATGGGAATGTGAGTACCATTTATTGTCAAAACCTGTGTCTCTTGGCAAAGTTGTTTCTTGACCACAAAACCCTCTATTATGATGTGGAGCCATTTCTTTTTTATGTACTAACACAGAATGATGTCAAGGGCTGCCACCTTGTTGGTTACTTTTCTAAGGTAAGTATGTCTGCTTAAACTTTGTTTGAATGCACATGGAAATCTAAAACAATTTTTGCTGGTTCTCACTCAGCACCTCCTAGGTGTCATCTAGCTGTTTGGAAAGAATAGAAGGAATATTTGGAAATTTACCAAGTGCTAGAAGGTGCCTAGTAACATTCAACAGCCTATATTCTCCTAGGAGCAAGGACTGCTGGCAATACTCACGAGGAAGTTTTTAAATGACTTCTCTTCCCATGGTAGTAATGGAACTTGTGAAATAAACAGTCATTAGCTCTCTGAGTTCTGTCTGCCTCAGCTTAAATCTTCTCTTCTAATTTGAACTTTAGGCATAGAAATATGAGTAAGAAGGCATTTTGATTAAAGGACATTTCTTTTTTAATCTTCCATTCCTTTAGAGGGAAAAGTTTCTTTTCTAGTCGGACAACACAAAAGGTATACTGTTATTTAAGCAGTAAAATCCAAGTGTATGAAACAGTTAAGTGGAAGTACTAGCTTTTTATAAGCATTTATAAGAGTTCTTTAAGTAGGCTACTTCATTGGTTAAATAGGATTTAAAATATATCGACTAATTTATAAAATTATAAAGATGACTATTTTGTGTAAAGGTAGATACAATTAATAGGACTGCCTTGAGTAGCACCAGAGCAGGAGAGAAAGAAAACTCTGAGATAATTGATGAGTCTTCTCACTTCTAGAGTAGCACACTGATTCATCATTTGTAGCTTTGCAGATTGGGACTTAGATTTCAGTGCTGTTCCTTAGGCACTGGCGTACTGTTGTTGAGTTGGAGATGGTGTTGGATGGCTTTGTTTTGTTTTGTATTTTTACTCCCCTGAGACAGTTGCTTTGTGGGTAATGGCAGTGACTTAACATTATCCTATCTTCTCCCAGTTGGGTATTTTTTTCTTGATGTATATTGCTATTCCCAAAGGACCAGGGCTGTGGTTTTGGCCATCAGTCTTTGTTTCCTAACAATTAGCATTATTATTCACTTTTACCAGCCTGTTTTAAAACTTGTATTTTCTCCACCAGGAAAAGCACTGCCAACAGAAGTACAACGTTTCCTGTATAATGATTCTTCCTCAATACCAGCGTAAGGGCTATGGCAGGTTTCTCATCGATTTCAGTAAGGATTATATTAATTTCTCATTGGTCCCTTCCGGTGGACCTTCTTCTGTATATATAAAGATTTGTAGATGATTTGTTGGCTACTAGTATCTTTTGTTGTAT